ACTCGGATTTACCATCTCTCCCTAGGCTTTACTACCGATGTCACTCCTCTTAGAATCGACCCCGTCTTTCACCACACACTCCTCTCGGTGTACTTGTGTATTACAAAGTGAACTCTCAACAATTAAGTACAAATAAAATAAATTGTTCTCCAATACAATTTGAGAATAAAATTAAGCTCACTCAATCACACTCACAACCCAAATAAAAAATATGTAAAAATACTCAAGCTTAAATATGGGTGTGTGTGAAACAATATGAAAAATAACAAAAACTAAACTCAATATAAGATCTAGCTTAATAAAATTGATAATCAACAAATAAATGTATAAAGCTAGAAAAGAGTTTAGATAAAACTTCTCTGAAATAACAAGAGTGAAAGAGAGATGGAATTGAGGCTCAAACACGATGGAATCAATGTTCTCCTCTTGTGAAAGTTTCTTCACAAAAACAAACTTTGAAAACACTTATAAACTCTTAAATAAAATTAAACCCTTATTAAAATTGTTTTTAAACTTTTTTAAGTAGTTGAAATAGTTATGGCAAAGGGGTATATATAGGGTAGAAGAACGCATCCCAAGAAACCAACAAAATCCAATAAAAAACACAAAATCCATAAATTTTGAAAAATAGTTGTTACTGTACAACGGTCATATTATAAGTTGACTTATGACAGGTATAAGTTGACTTATATCTTCATGAGTCGACTTGTATGTGTTATAAGTCGACTTAGTAGACGAAAATATCTAACTGCACAACATATCATAAGTCGACTTATGAGTCGACTTAAATGTGCATAGGACCTACAATGTGCAGTAAACATCAACTTTAAACCTCGTTTAAAAATATCAAATAAATTCCAAAAAATATAAAACTTTAGAAAATATTTATAAACATGATAATGAACATGTTACAAAAAATCTTTTTAAATTGCATTTTCCATTTGTATACAAAAACTCTTTATTTTGCAAAATAGTCTAAAACATGAAAACTCAACAATACATGATTTTGACAAAATGATTTCAAACAAGTTTGAAACTTCTCTTAATTAGATTAATAGACTTACTAATAGATATAAAAAGATTCAATTGAGTCTATAATCTATAAACACATAATTTTTTTGATTACCATGAATTTATTTATTTGTTAAAGCTTTATTTTGATGAAATCATTGTAAGCATGAATAGATATGAAACAAATATGTGTATATATATACCTATACCCATTTGTTTTATATTTATATAGCTAAACATGTTAATACAAAAAAAAATTGATAAATAGGAAACTAGAGTATATGTTTATGAATATAACTAGTAGTTCCATATTTATACCATTTAAACTTGAAAACGAAAACCATGAAATAAAAGCAATGTGTGTGTATAATTTTACGCTCTAAGTATCAACACACAAAATATAAACCCTAAACTAATATACCAAGCTATGAGATCTTCAATAACGCTTGTCTTAGTTGTGGATGAGGCTTGGAAATGCAATTTGACTTTGAATTGTAAGGCTTCATTCCGGTATTCCTTCCAACCTCCTTTGAATGTGATCATGAATGTGTAATTCTAACCAACCTCCAACTATATTGTTTGTCTAGATTACCTAATAGTCAAATACAAATACTAGACAATCAATATTAGGGATTGTTTGTAAATCATCAAAACAAGATTAGATAGGAGGCTCATAAACATGAGTCCGAACACATAGGGTAGTATTATTGATAGTAGAGAGCTTATGTGCAACATAGCAAACTTTAGCAAAATGGTATTTACGGCCGCAAATAGAGCACTTATAAACCTTGCTATATATGTGTGCATAGTGAGTGGATGATTTTGAATTATTTGCACATGACTTGGCAAATATATTCACAAGCTTCTTATGATTATCAATACATTTAGTTAGTGTTAAATCTAAAGAAGAAATACGGTTATTCATATGATTCAACTCTTCATTTTGCACATTTGTATTGATAATAGAAGTAGAAAGAGCGTGATCATTCTTAACTGAATTAAATTCCTTTCTAATGGATTCGACTTCTAATATGGCATCAATTTTGTCATGAGTTAAGCCAGTCATGTTTATGTTCAAAGCATCATCATCCAATTTTAATTTATTATTATTTTCTTTAAGTATCTCATTTTCTTTAACAATGATATCAAACTTGGATGCTAGCAACTCATGATCGGATTTTAAGTTTACATGCTTGTTTTTTAAGTTTACAAAATTATGATGCAATTTATTATAGGTTTTCATTAACTTTTCATATGCACATGCAAGATTAACTATAGATAATTCACTATTGGATTCAGACTCGCATTGTTCACTAGGGCTATCGCCTAGTGGCCGTGTGCATGATGATGCTCCACTCTCACTTGAAGCGGAATCCACCAAAACGCGTTGAATTTCCTCCAAGTTGCTTTGATGTGCCTCTATATATTTCCATAACGTGTAAGCACTATCAAAATGAGCAAGTTTGTTAGAAATAGATGAGTTAAAGGCATTAAGTAAATATTCTAACACCAATTTGTTCATGGTAAATATGTTTCTATCATTATTACTCCACTTGGATTTTTTCAAAGTGGGTACAATATAAGCATAATCAATTATTTCCCATAAATCGATATGTTTAGATCTAACAAATAGTTTAAATCTATCACACTATTGAGCATAAGGGAAAAAAATTAAAACAAGGAGCAACATTAATGTTATAGGCTAAATTAGGTGCACCATGCATGTCCATAATAATTATGCAAGCAAAAAAAATATCAAAACTAGATTAGCAAGATATAATAGCTTGGAGCTTTGACTCTAGGCGATTAAGCCACAAATCAATAGCATCAAGCTCTGATACCAAATGAAATTACCCTAGAGGGGGTGAATAGGGTAATTGCTAATCTAATCTGATATAAATACCAAATTTAAAACTTATTAACTAATATATCCTAATGATGTAATATACAATTAAATATGCAAGGATATACAATTAAACAATGGGTGAAATAAACATGAAAACAAGAACAAGAGAGATAGTATAAAAATGACAAATGCAAACATAAAACAAAAGATCATAGAGTTCGGTCGACCCACGACCTACATCTTCACTCCTCACCTTCGAGGAGAATCTCCACTATCTCAAAAATACTACACAATCGGTTTTTCAACGCTCACCGATAAACGTTTACAACTCACACAATTGTCAATACACAATGCACTCCACTAAGTGTTGATCTTGCCCATGTCACCTTTCTCAAGTGCTCAGAATTACTACCTCCCCCTAGAATTTACAACCGAAGCCACTCCTCTTGGAGTTGACCCCATCTCTCACCAACCACTTCTCTAAGTGTCATTGTGTATTACAATGTGTTCTCTCAACAATAAAGCCTAAATACAATGGTTTGTTCTCTAACAAAGATGAGAACAAAATTATAAGCTCACTCTCAAAGATACAACCCCATAACTCAAAATATACTATATGTGAAAATATTTAAGCTCAAGGGGTGTGTGTAACCAATGAGTATAAATAAAATCAAACCCGAATTAATCTAGCAAGTAAAAATATAACAATTGAAATATAAACAATCTAGATAATGAGTTTAAGAAAACTTCTCTAAACAAGAGGGATGAAGAATTGAGGTTGAACTCCTTAATGATGAAATCGATATTCTCCTGTTTGTGAAACTTTCTTCACATTAAACACACTTAAATTCTCTTGAAAACTCAAAAATAAACTGCACAAAACTTGTCTAAAAAACCTTAAGAAATACCAAAGAAAAAAGGGTATTTATAGCCCCATAGACACAGCTACCTGTTTCTGCTAAAAATAGCAATCGGTCGACTGATGATGTGCGTCAGTCGATTGATAATGTGACCGTTGGATGAGTTGGCAGATTTTAAAATTTTGCGTAGCTGGCTTTCTAAAATCAATTAAAAATATCAAATCAACTCTAAAAATAATGAAATGTTTGGGAATATTTTTACACATGAATATAAACATGTTCCATAAAGAATTTCTGAAATATCACTTCCCATTTGTGTGTAATCACTATTTTAAAATAGATATTCTAGATTCTTAAAACTGCTAAATACTTAGTTTTGTAAAATTAATTTAACATAGTAAATCAACTCCAAAAATGATAAAGCTTTGGAAAATATTTATAAACATGATATTGAATATGTTAGAAAAAGAAATTTTCAAATTGCATTTCTTATTTATGAAAACTCATGTATTTTGCAAACCGTTCAAATATACGAAAACATTAAAACTTAATTTTGATAAATTTTCTTCAAACAAGTTTTAAAACACTTTAAAATAGATTAATAGACTTGAGGAAAGGCATAAAATAGTGTAATCATATCTTTAATCTATAAACATATTATTTCTAAAACAAAGATGATAAATATGAAACTAAAGTATGTGTATATAACTATTAGTTTCATCTTGTATGATTTAAACTTGAAACGATGAAACGAATAAAATGTGTACATGTATGAAGCGCGATAAAGTAAACTTATAAACTACAATAATATACCCAAGCAAATGATCTTCATTAGGCTCAATCTTAGAAGCGGGGATGAAGCGCGATATTGAATCTTGACTTGAATTGTGACAGCTTCATTCCATTTTCCTTCCAACCTCCTTTGAATGTCATTGTTAAGCTTAATTTCAACCAACCTCCATTGGAGGATATTTGTGTAGATTACCTAACAAAATAAATGCAAACACTTGACACACAATATTAGGAATTATTTATTAATCATCAAAACTAGATTAGATATAATAGGCTCATAAACATGAGACCTAATAATTACTTTCTTAAAGCAACATCTTCAAAGACAATTTGAGATGAAGGATCTTGGATCCCTTCGTTACTTCTTGGGTATTGAGGTTGTTTCCTCCTCTCATGGCTAACTTCTCTCTCAGCAGAAGTACATTGCAGACATTCTTAAGCGTGCTACTCTCAGTGATCCCTTTATTGCTACCACTCCTCTCTCCACACCAATGGTAATGAACTTGAAGCTTCAACATGATGATGGAAATCCCTTATCTCAGCCTGCTCAATATCGGGAACTTGTTGGGGTATTGGTTTACCTTTCAGCAATACGTCCTAATATCACCTATACAGTACACATCTTGAGCCAGTTTGTCAGTAGTCCAACTTCCATTCACTATGCAGCTCTCATTCAGGCTCTTCAATATCTCCATGGCACTATAAGGCAATCATTATTTTCCCCTTCAGACTCTTCTTTGTCTCTTCATGCATATTCCTATGCTGGATGGGCTGATGATGTAGACACTCGACGTTCCACTACTGGCTATTTTATTTTTATGGGTTCATCTCTCATCTCTTGGCATAGTAAGCGTCAAGCCATTATCTCTTTTTCTAGTATGGAGTCCAGGTACAGGGTGTTGGCAGACACCACAGTTGATCTAAAATAGCTCCGCACTCTTCTACGAGATCTTGATGTCTTTGTTACTTCCCCTATCAATTTATACTATGATAATCAGAGTGCCATATCCATTTATACAAATTTGGTATTTCATGAGCGTACAAAACATATTGAGGTGGATTGTCATGTGGTTCGACAGGAGCATGTTGCTGAAAACATTACACTCTCATATGTTCCTTACTAAGAAACAAGTGACAGATTTATTTACCAAGGCTCAAACTATTTCTACGTTTCACTATTTCTTATCTAAACTCTTAGTGTTTGATCCACTGTGAGTTTGAAGGGGGGTGTTAAATAACATCATGAGCCACCAACCACCCTATATGTGTATACCCACCTCAGCCGCCTCCTAGTGAGCTCCTAGTGTGGGCTACTGATTGTGTTTGTGGGCTACTGATTGTGTATATATAATCTATAAATCTAATCATCAAATAGAGAGTTCTCTTCAATACCAACTTAACAAACCCTATCCGCCCTTGAGCAGCACGATGATCATTTGCTATGTATCATTCAAGGTCCTTAATACACATATGAAACATCTATAGGGAAAGTGATGTCACATGACACCACTACCTTCAAAGTACATCCGCCCTTATTTCCAATGTGATTTCTTACATGGCAGGTATTTGGAGTTATTCATTTAAGATAAAAGGGACGTTTTGTTTTTTTAAATAATAGAGATAAAAATTGGGTTCTCTTCTTCCTTTTAGAGATAGAATTGGTGTAGTACATTAAAATTGGAGAAGGATTATTCAAGCTCAAACTCCCACTCATGGCCAGCTTCAAGCATGAGCATTGAAAGGAGCAAACAAGAATTCAATGGAGTGAAATCTAAGAAAGGTTGAATGATCTAGCAAGGAGATTGGAAGGTGAAGTTTTGTAGGTGTGGTTTAAAGTGCAATTAGGGGAAGATTCGTCCTCTCCCTCACATGAAAATTAATAGATGGAATGGGTTGGTAATTTGCATTTTTCTCATTACGGTTAATTAAGATCATGTTCAACCTTTACCACATAAGCCTAATTAAGCCATGTAAGATGCATGTGACTCATCACATGAGGGGATGTTCGCTAAATTATAGCTCCGCATGAAAATTATGTTTTGTTATCACTATGGTCCACTTAATATATTGTTGTCATCGGAACCAGAAAATATATCAACTTTATAATTAGGTTCAGCAAAATATACCAATTTGATAATTTACTGATTAAGAATATATAGATAATAAAAAACCGTTAATAAAAATAATCAAGAAGATAAGCGAAAATGAAACATGTTTGAGTGTTAAGATATGATTTATCTATGCATGACTCTATACATATATATTTTTTGTGCATTCATGGTTCCACTAATTATATAGCTTAGAGTAGTTCTAAAGCGAAGTTTTCCTCACCCCTCAATTTTCAGTCCTACATATACATGCATAATGAGTTGCTAGCATGCCTTTCTCGAATTTGGATCAACGCGTAGGTCAATCAATAACCAAGTCAGCAAAGGTTCTGTTCTGTTAGCAGAAACTCTAGTAACTTTACTTATTTAGACACCTCACCTCTCTTTTGCCTTGTGGGTTGGGTATCAAATATCAAAGGTAAAACTAGACAACTTTACTTTCCCGTCCCTAGATTTTCTAAAACTTTGGGGGTCTTTTACTAAACTTCCATAACATTTGTATTCCACTAAACACCTCGATCATTAGAGGTTAACTCCTTTACAATTTTTGATTTTCTAAATCTTACCTGTCAGTTTGCCATTTAGTTTTCAAGTCAGAATAATCAACTCTAACATGCCACCTAATAAGCACAAGAAAAAAATACGAAAATAATCACTCTATCCAAAACAAATTTAGAAAAATTGTGAAGCACGTGGGACATGGGGCCCACTCTTGTGCTTGAACATCGCGTGAACAAAACGCGTTGCGTTTTTTTTCCGTTGTGTGGGGGCCACATATACGGACATCAAGCCCACCCGAAGAGCTGCTATATATTTCTCTTCAAATTAGTTTCTAGGTTTTTGTGCAAAGGGGCTTTGTGGTGTGTAGCTGCAGAAAGGAAAAGTGCACGGAGTTTTTGCAGCTACAGGTGAAAACGCAGAGGCAAAAGTGGAGATTTTGAAAAGTCTTTTGTTAGGGTTTTGAGTATCTATTGGTGGAGAAATTTGTGAGATAAGGAGATATTGTTTGAGAGTTTAATTTGTGTGATTGTAAATCCTATTTGTATTCTCTCTCTTTAATAGTAAATCTCCCCCCTCCTTGCCTCGTGGACATAGGCAATTTGCCGAACCATGTAAAATTGGTTGTCTCGCTATTTGTGTGATTTGTAATAGTTTATTTAGGTTCCCTCGATAGGTCAGTCCTAAAACTGATGAGAGGAAGATATGATATCCCACTTTGTTGAGATATTTTACTTAAGGTTCTTGTTTCCTTTGTGAAACAGGAATTCCTATTGCGACCTGACTCTCTTGTTGTGCTGTCGAAGTGCTGCCGAAATTTCTGCTGCGTGCAACAAGTGGTATCAAAGCCCAAATTTCAGATCTAGGATTTTTGGAATTAGGTGGAGGAAGTTTCTTGTGTGAAGCTTGGTTCTTGGAGTTCTAAGCTTGGTGGAGATAGCATTAAGAGTTGCCGTCGGAGATTTCGTTGTCCTCGCATGGACAGGAGATCTATTTGGAATATGATCTAGGGTTAAGTTGGGTAATTCTTATTTTCTATCAAAGTTTGATTCTTTCTCTATAACTTGGAGTTAGTCTGTAATGGGAGAAGAAGGTAAAAGTAGCAAGTCGATGGCGAGTACAATTCAAGTTGGTTTTCAAAATACCAAAATTAGTATGGTGAAGTATGACGGTAAAATCAACTTTGGTTTGTGGATGAGCAACGTACAGGATGCGCTCAATGCTCAGAACTTGGAGGAAACCATCATGGTCCATGAGAGACCACCAAAATATGAAGAGGCGATATGGGAAAAGATGAATAGGAACGCTTGTGGGGTGATCAGGTTTTGTTTTGAAGAGGAGCTAAAGTATGATGTGATTGGGGTGACGTCTGCAATAAAGATTTGGGAAATTCTTAACAATAAGTATCTTACAAAAAATATTGAGAACATATTGCATTTGCTACAAAGATAATTTAGATTTTAGATGTCCTGAGGCACCTCGCTAGTGGCTCATGTGAACAACTACACTAAGTTATTGTCGGACTTGGCGAATATTGATAAGAAGATATCGGATGAGTACAAGGCTATTATCTTATTGGGCTCCTTACCAGATGAGGAGTATGACACCTTTGTGCTCATTTTGTTGAACGGGAGATCTTTTATCAGCTATAGTAAAGTTACTAATGCATTAACGAATTATGATTTGAGGAGGAAGGACAAGGAGACTTCTCATGCTAGTACTTTAGGCGAGGCCTTATCGACGAGGGGTAGAAGCCTATATCCGAAAGGTGGTAATAGAGGAATGTGAAAGTCAAGAGGTCGTCACCAGCTAGGAAAGAATCAATGTACATTCTGCAAGGAGTGGAGACATTGGAAAAGAGATTGTCCAAAAATCAAAGAGAAGGAGAATAGCAAGAAAAATGGACCGAAGGCGAATGAGGTGAACATTGCGAAAGACGATGATTCCGATGATTCGAGTTTTTCTCTATTGATTACTTCGGAGGTGAACCACTTGGATGTATCAGATTGGATGTTTGATTCTGGCGCTACCTATCACGTGACCCCTAGGCGAGATTGGTTTGCATCTTTTAAGAAGCTCGATAGGGGTGTTGTTATCATAGGAAATGATTAATCCTATGGTATTTGTAGGATAGGTACCATGCAGATTCAGATGTACGACAGAATAGTCCATGAATTAAAGAAGGTAAGATTTGTTCCTCAACTGAAGAAGAATCTTATCTCAGTTGGAGCTTTGGAGGCGAAGGGATTCAAGGTGATCTTTGAGGACGCTGTAGCAAAGGTTACTACGGGATCTTTAGTGGTGATGAAGGGTGTCCGCAGTCAGAATTTATATTATCTAAAGGGGAGCACCGAGATTGGCCAGGTTGCTTCAACTATTTCAGAGACGAACATGAGCAGGCTTTGGCATTACAGGTTAGGGTACACAGGAGAAAAGTCATTCCAGGTTTTGTGCAAGTAGGGGCTATTGAAGGGAGCCAAGAGTAGTAAAGTGGAATTCTGTGAGCACTGTGTTCTTGGGAAGAAAATGAAGGTGAAGTTTAGGACTGCTATTTATAGGACGAATGGCATCCTAGACAACATGCACACAGACGTTTGGGGTACCACCAGAACTGCATCACTTAGTGGTCGACATTGGTTCGTCACGTTCGTAGATGACTATTTTAGATGTTGTTAGATATACACTATAAAGCATAAGAATGAAGTCCTAGATTTGTTTGTGGAGTAGAAGAAGAGATTGGAACTGCAGACTAGGAGAAAGATCAAGATGTTGAGATCCGACAACGGCGGTGAATATACTTCAGACTCCTTTTAGCAGCTATGTCGAGATGAGGGTATAGAAAGTCACTTCACGGTTAGTCATACACCACAGCAGAATTGGGTAGCAAAGAGGTTAAATCGGTCTTTACTGGAGAAGGTTCGATGCTTATTATCGCAAAGTGGTTTGGAGAAGATCTTTTGGGCTGAGCTACTTACATATGCAAGCCACCTCATTAATAGGCTACCTTCATCTGCGATTGAGGGGAAGACCCTTATGGAGAAGTGGTCGGGAGAGCCAGCACACGACTATGACCAACTCAATGTATTCGGGTGCCCTGCATTTTATCATGCGAGAATAGATAAATTGGAACCTCGAGCTAGGAATGCCATATTTGTAGGATTCAAGCTTGGTGTTAAGGGATACAAGCTATGGGATCCAGTTGATAGAAAGATTGTGCTGAGTAGGGACGTCACATTCGATGAGGTTTCTATCTTGAAGCTTCACAGCTCTCATCAGGTGGAGAGCGACCCGACTGAGGAGATATCGCAGGTGGTGAAAATCGA